CTGTATGTTGTCAAAGGATGATTTGTTGGTGACGTCATACAGCAAAAGCAAAGCTAGAAGAAAGTAGAAGAACAGTTTAAGTGTATTGTTTTAAAATTCATGACTGCAAATAAGTTTAAATTATAAAATGGTTTGGTAGACATAATTCTCAGTTTAATTGAGTCTTTCACCCTGATGTCTCAACTCCCTTTCAAATCAAATTGTTTAAGAGTTAATTTTCATTCTGGACACATTCATTTCTCTCTCTTGGCCTGTCTAAGTCCTGCATCACAATTGGAAAAACTCAGAGACCAGAGTTAAGGCTTGGTCTTGACTGGTTTCCTTTTTCCCCAATTAAAAGCACTGCTACTCTACAAGGACTCTAGGTTGTCCTTCATTTGTAAATGAATGTGAATACCAATATAACGATAATAGTCCAATTAAGGCATTTGCATAGTCAGTAACCATTCTTCCATGACCAAAAGCTCGGAAGTTGTTTAACAGTTGAGCTAATATCACAATATGTTTCACATATGTTTGTTTTTCCACCAGCATCAGCTTATCATTATTTAGACACCAAAACTACACTGATGTCTGTTGAAATGGACAGAATTTGTTACACAGGCCTCCTACATGAGGACTCCATAGAGGACCCGCTCCCTCTGTAGATAAAAACAGCTCATTCTAAGGTAATGAAAACAACACAACCGTTCTTATATTGAGGTGATTATACACTAATGAAAACATACATACAAAAAAGATGTTACACACTGGACCTTTAATCTGGCAAACACATACATTTACATAAACAATATACTGTATGTATAATTTTGTAGTATTCACCTTGACAACATGAATGAATGATACAACATGAGGAAATATGAGTGAAAGAGCATTTTAAACAGCTTATGATGCCTCAGTCCATGTCCCTCTATCTGTCTATGGAGCAGCTTGCCCAGGGAGTGCAGGTACAAAGGAGAGTGCAGCTGAGAATGGAGACGACCCAGGAGAGATGAGCATGATGCTGCCTGACAGCTATGTAATAAAGCTGAGTTCTGCAAGACCAGTCCTGGAGGTGTTTCTCACTCTTTTGCTATCTGTTATCACTCAATAGCTGAAGTCAGGACACAGGGAATCATAAACTGATGCGACTGTTGCTGAGTGTGTGTGTGTGTGTGTGTGTGTGTGTGTGTGTGTGTGTGTGTGTGTGTGTGTGTGTGCCGATTCTCGAATACCTTTCCTGCCAGCTTGTATTAAACATCCTTTCCAAAAGCCGTTTTCTATTAATAATGTTCCAGTATTTGTAAAGGTCAGCCTCAATTGTTATTTGTAAAATGAGCTAATCATATCAGTCGTTTGCAATTTGTCTAAAATATACAGAACTTTAGTTTTCTTTTGAGCACTGGAAACAATGGATTCAATCAAAAAGTCTCATTAAACGCGAAATTTACTGGCAAATGGAACAGTGAAATTGCAGTTTGGAGGAAGAGATGAACAGAGATTGCGAGCACAGAAAAGAGAAAGGCTTGATGAGAAGAGGAAGAACAGAAGCTGGAATGGAAAGCAATACGGCAACAAAGGAGGCAAAACAAAATTGGTGAGACACAATGGCAACAATGAGGAAGAAAGATAAAAACAAAGATGAAGAACAGCAACGCGAATTTGACAAAATAAACTTCAGCACAAACACTTTGCATAATTTTCAGTCTCACATCTGTGATTTCCTCGTGCATCCTGGATTGCTTTATAATGTCATTTTCAATTTGAGCTTTAATGCTTTTCATTAAATTATACAGCACATTATGAAGCAGAATGTAATTACAGAGTTAGTACATCACCACACATTATTGCTAATTAAGCCTTTCTTATAAAGTTTAGGAAAAGTTGCCAGGCACTCAAATAATAGTTTTTGTAAATATGTAATTTGTTAAAAAGAGAACATATCATTTAGTGTCTTTTAAAAGATTAAAAAGTTGATGGTTACCCATTTTACCATTTCCAATAACATTATCTGTGAGGTGGTAACCATGGATACCATTAGAGCTTGATGTTTTGGGAATGACTGATCAGTCTAAATAGCTTATTTATATGCTTCAAGCCATTTAAAACATGTTTGACCAACAGTCATGGGCACGGCCAAAACCGATTTAAAATGGATTCCTGTAAATAATACCAACTAGAAAAAGATAAGATTGCTGCATAAATTTATAGCAAAAATAATTTAACTACATTTCAAGGTAGTCAGTTGTTAGTAAGGGAGACTGTTAAATTGATTATGTTGTATCCCGACTTCATAGAAGATTTTTGTATTCAGCATTTAGGTGCTGCTGGCTGAAGCATCTTTTAAACGACTAGGTTCTACAGGAGAGAATGCAAACAAGATTTCACAGTGGCCAACTGAATAAAATCTAATTCAGATTTGAGCGGAGCAACAGAAGGAAATCTATCTGTATAGAGATCAGTCATCATATTCAGTCATCATATTATACATACATATTATTATTATATTATTATAAATATTATTAATATTATTATTATATACTGTTATTAACAATAACACTACCATCATGTCATCAGTACTATTACCACCATATTGCAACTATAACTCTTTGCACCTTACCTACCTATTTATCTTTTTTTATCTTTTCTATCTAAGTATTTTATTCTATTGTTGTATTTTATTCTATTTTAATGTACCTGGCTGCCATGACGACCCAATTTCCCTCTGGGGATAAATAAAGGCTATCTATCTATCTATCTATCTATCTATCTATCTATCTATCTATCTATCTATCTATCTATCTATCTATCTATCTTATCTATCTATCTATCTATCTATCTATCTATCTATCTATCTATCTATCTATCTATCTATCTATCTATCTATCCCCAATATAGCACAGGTGCCTTTGTCCCCGAGAAGAGACCCCTCCATCAATCTGAGATGGGACAAATTAATGCTTATGCAAAACAACTGTTTGAAAGGAGACTAACGGGCATATTGTGGGAACACAAACCGTCTACCATCATGTTGATTCTTTTTTTACTCAGAAAACTGGATGAATTTGAAGTGAAATGTTTTACAGACTTATTTTTATATCCAACAACTTCTCCGAGCAAACTTGTAATTACATTTCTTATTTGTGTTTTGTCTGTTTCTTTTGTATTATTTTTCTCACAGTGGGTGCCACAGCAGACACAAATAGCTAAAGCAGGGTAAGCAAAAAAAAAAAAAAAATGGAAATCTTGAACTGCAACTATATAATTACAGAATTTTCACATATAAATGAGCTGAAAAATATCTCATGGCTGTCTACACATTTTCTCCCACATAGCAGATAGAGTGCATATTCACCAACATCTAAAATATTCCTCCCCATTTCTCTCTCTCTCTCTCTCTCTCTCTCTCTGTCTCACTGTCCTCTTCCTGAGCCTCAACTAACTCAACTAAGTCCATCCACCTTCCCACACTCATCCTCTCTGCCTTCAGCTCAGCTCTGGCCCCAAAAAGTTCTGGCAGCAACAGTTAGCGCCTTTCATCATATTTCACCTTGGCTTCATGGAGGAATGTGTGTTTGCAGGTCCAACATTGTGTGTGTAAATGGGTTTAAAGTATACAAATATATTGCTGTACTGCTGGCAGGATTGTGCGATCTGCAAATCTTTTATAGTGTCATAATGTCACTGTCAATGACTGAAACATAAACCTTGTTGCATATAAACTGTAACAGTAATAAACCATGAAACAGTTACAGTAACCCGGAGCTGGCCCAAGTATTTTTGGGACTGAGACGCAGAATTTGATTTGTGACCATTAGCAATAAACACAGTACAGCTTCCTAGCCCACAAATTATCATAATTTATCGTTAAAAACTTGAGGTCTTGTCAAAAACATTGCCTCGTGCACTTGTGCTGCTAAATTTGGCAAAATGGAGTCTGGTATAGTTCTGTAACATTGTGTACTTCGAGCTGACCAAGAGTTTTCTTGTATAGAAGATGTCCAACCAGCCAATCAGTTATAGGGATAAAATGTGAGAATGAACAAGTTTAACCATAACATTACTAATGTAGTGTTTTTAAATTAAATACAAGGTGTGGGGGTTGCTCTGGGCGCCACGCATGGGGTGCAAGCTCTACTAGATGAGCTTTGCTGCAGTAGCCGTGGGTTTGACTCTGGCATGTGGCCCTGCTGCGTGTGCCCTGCTTTAGCTCAGGGTAAACCGTCTTCAGAACCCTACTCTGATATGATTTTAGACACAACAAAACAAGGCCTTTCATCTGCAGCAACCTCACTGTGGTCAAATGAGCCATCATTTACAAAACCCAACCCCAAAATTAAAGGGTGAGTCAGCTCACAAAAAGAACACACCTTATATTTCAATTTTAATTGTTGTATTTTAAAACAAAAATCAAATAGCCCCTCATTTTTGTTTTCTTATACATTTTTCAAATGACCAAAACATACACAGACCAAAAGTGGTAGAGAAAAAGAGCAACAAACTATTGATGTAAATAATAATTTTAAAAATATAAAAATCTGAAGACAGTGCACTCTTAAGAATATCTACCTCCCTATGATAATTATTATTACTCCTGTGGCTCTGGTGGCTTTGACCAGGGGCTGGCTGGCATTCCACACACATACTTTAATGTCTACCTACTGCAGCTTAAAAAGGGACAAGAGCCACTGCAGTTTACTTTAAAGCCTGCAATGTCTGCTTGTGTTATGTTCACTGTGGGAATACAAGGAAGGACAAAAGTACACTTTGCAGAAAAAAACTTGAGTTTGTTTTCAGAGTTTATGGGAAACACACAGGGACTAACAGTCAAGAGTTTACACAGTGTGAAGGTAAGCAGGGAGATCAAAATGTACGTGCTTTTGTTTGAACAAAATAGTGAAAGCTGGGGAAACCACAGGAGCAGACCCTTTTGTACAACACTTCAGAGACTTCAAAATCTTACTGACAGTCTGTTGCTGAAAAAGGAGTTTGTTCAGGTAGTCAAAGTCACAGTCAGCTACATTTGTAGGCTTGCAAGTAGGTGTGCAAGTGATGAGTGGAGTATTTTTTTTTTACTGTGGTATCGCCATAGGGCCACCAATTAAGTTTGATGTTCAGATACTATCCTAAATATTATTTTTATTTTTCTCCAGAAACACCAGAGGCTATTTCTAATTATTTTCTTACTCCATCTCTTAGAAACAGACAGGTGAGAAGGTGATCAGCATCGTCACATCTCTGATGATGTGTGCAGATCCTTGATGTAATGCTGTGCTCTGTGGTGTAGATAGTGCAGCTTATCCAGCGATATGCCTCATGGCAGTAATGGAAAAGTTCTAGAAAATTCTGACACTGAGATGTCAAAGGCTACACTGTGTGATGTGGTTTTCAGAGGAAGATATGTTCCCGGGCGTTGTGCCTGAATCTGGCCCTGCTAAAGTCCTCGGGGTCTCCTTTCTCCAGGAGACAGAGACAAATAAATCCTTCCATAATTATGCAGGCTAACCGCCAAACCATGACATGCATAATGAGGATAATACACAGACACAGATCATTTACACTCAGGAGTATGCATGTACTCGGTCACCCACACCCACTCACACACACACACACAACCTGTCCCTGCTCAAGTTGCGTAAACTTAAACAGATTATACAGACACACAGATCCAAACAGCAAAACTTGCCTTTGATCACACAGGGATTCCTGACTGCCCAGAGATTAAAAGACCAAACAAGGTGATGCATTCTCCATATATATGAGGGGAGAAAATGACAAACACATACTGGAACATTGCGTGAATATCAAGTACCAAAAAAAAAGAGCAGAGCCACTATCCCCCCCCCTCAGAGAAAAGTCAGTCCTGATTGGAATGCTGCTCTGTGTGTGTAGAAGTCCTTCAGTTCTTCCAGGTGGATTTCATTTCAAGCTGTTATTTACTGAACCACTTACTGTTGGCGTATGTTGTTTAACAGTGAGAGTGTGGATCTGGGAATAATGTCATGAGAAAATTGTATTTACACTCTTGGGTGCACCTAATCCTATTAAATAGCTTCATAGTTCTTGGCTTTATGATTAACTGTTGATAATAGACACTGTACTCTGTATGTGTGAGTTACTTATTTAACATAAACTCACCTGGATGGTTGAAAAAAACCCTGAAAGATGACTAATCATTATTGCTCAGGGTCCAGGTTTTGTGCCTCATACACCCAATTATGTGAATTTGATTCAAGCTATTTACTAAAAGCAGCTCTGCCTTGATTACCAGCTTTGTGAGAAAACAATGTGTTGCCACTAAGTGCTCTCTAAATGATCGTGCATGCCTAATAATGACATCATGATGAATAAAAAGTACACATACACACATGCAGACTCATACACGCACCCATCGGTGATGACTGATTACAGATCATCACAGGGTCCCATAAATCCTGAATGTGTTGTCCTTCAATCCCAGGAGAAGAGTTATAAAACGTCAGCACTTGAGAATACTGCACAGTGGAAGAAAAATCTCATCCTAACCTTCACACTAACACGGCAGTGAATTATAACGTGTATGAAAACTTTATTTTCATGGCAAAAGCGGTCTAAAAAAGAACCCTCAATTCCTTTTAACCTTAATGTGCACAGGAAGAGTGCTCTATGTATTTAAATGTACATATTTTAGAGCTTCCTATCTGCCTGCCACAAAACACTGATGTAACCTACACTCCATGTATCAGGATTCAAAAAAACATGTGAAGGATAGCAGCAAATAGAGATTGCTTTTTAACTCAGAGACAAAAACATCTGTAGTACAACAATCTCAAAACTATATGCAAGTGTGTGTGTGTGTGTGTGCGATTGTCTCACCATGGGCATCACGGTAGTAAGCATGAGTGACACTGCGGAACCGCTCCTGTCCAGCTGTGTCCCAGATCTGCAAAGAATAACAGGGGAAGGTAATCACTGAATAGAGAAAGAAGTTGCTATCTTTTTAATAAGTCCTCTGTTTGCTCAGTCATGCTGCTGGAGCTCATTGTGAAACCCTCCATTCAGTGTACTCCAGGATGAGTCTGGAATATGGAAATGAGATATAGAGGAGTATTGAGGAGTCCTTTGTCTTATGAATTCAGTATTGAAGTTAATGTTTTTTTTTAAGACTTAAGACAGCGTGTAGCAAGCTGTAAATACAACACTGACAGTACCACCATGAAGTTGTGATGGCTAACATCTTAGCAAACAGTTACACAGTCGTCTTTACTTTACTCTGATTAATGTAAATCCAATAACTTATTCTTTTTAGCTCAGTTTTTTGGTCTCCACCAACTCCTGAGGGACATATCTTTAGCTCCCAAATACTTCGCCATGTTCACCAGATATTGGCTTATATGCTATCTGTCTGTCATTTGGCGATGGGCAGGTAGCATACAGTGGGTATATCAGAGCTTTTCTGCGAGAAACAAGATTGATATGAGTGATGAGAGTGAACCAAAACACTAAAGTTGCAGGCTGTTGTAAAATCAAAAAAGTGAGCAAAAAAGATGCTAAACACTGTAGAGCAAGATCAGGACTTTGTCACAACAAGCAACCCCTTTTACATTACTCATAGTAATTTGATCCATTGTTCACATAAAATATTAATATTGATTATAGCAGATTTAAGGTCACAGCACATATTGTATTTATTATTTTCTCCATTATTCGTAATGTTTAGCTCAGTCTTGGTCATGATATTGAATATGAATCAGCCGCGGGCGATGCCATTTGTCCCATTCTCCAACCTCAGTGGAATAAGGCTAATTCCTTCTTTTTCCCTATCAGACACCTCTGCCTCTCACCATAATTTGGCTCCAGTTGCAATTACAATTTCTTCTCTTACTAGAGCAGAGCTGTGCAGGTTGACTGAACCCTGCACTTGGTTTTTGTATCAACAATTAATTCCTTACATTTTTTCTGGACCCTCTCTCTCTCTCTCTGAGACTTGTCAGCTTTGATGGTGGTTTGGCCTCCTGATTGCCTCCAGGGGCAACCGTCCCCCGGGGATCCGAGTGGCAGTAACGAAGAATGGCAATTACAGGAGGAAAAAGAACTCTCTCCCTGTTTGTAGGCTACAGGCTGCTCTGCAAACTGACGTGGAGCCAATTAACCCCAAATGAATACATCACAGGGCAAAGGCCCACTCCACCAGCCTCCGTCAACCCCTAATTAAGATCATTAGGGATGATTCGAATAATTACTCGCTCTGTTTGACAGAAATATCAACCATACAACAATGCTGGGTTGTTCTCAGTATGTGCGCTGGTTCTCAAAACAGTGAATGAAGTGCGGAGAATGGAAGAAAACTCAAAGCCTAATGGAAAGTATTAATGGAGATGGATGAACCCTAATTATCTTTTAGGTGCTTTTTGTATCAAGATCATAGATTGTCTTCACAAAATAAGGTCATAGACAGATCTCTACTTCGTCTTGTACGATTAGGCACATGCATTAGCTAGCTAAAGTAAATAACAGGCACTGCTAAAGCTGAAAGGGGTTTTAACTTGGAGACAAGTGGGGCTGGAAACAGGATCTGACAGGTAGCTACAATATCTCAGGGATTAGAGCTTGATTCTTATTTGGTTGACACCTTTCCCCTTGATGACGACTCTCATAAACAGTTATTTGATGATTGTCAGGACAAATTTAAGCTCTTACCTGGAGCTTCACCTTGACTCCATCAATGTTCAGCACTTTATTCTGGAAATGAAAGCAAAAAATCGTAAGTGACAGTGCCTAAATTTAAACCTTTTTTCCAACTAGCAACAACGTTTTCAGTGTTTCCGCATGAAACAACTTCAGGTGAGTGTGTGCCAGTTTGTGGTCAGACACCTGTCTCTTCCTCTCATCTAACAACCACACTCGTCTCTCCTCTCTCCATCAATACTGCATGTCTCCACCTCACTCTTTTTGATGAAGCCTCGCCTCTTTCCTCCAGAGGATTAACCCCCTACGCCCTCCTCGCCTCCCTCCGCTCCGTCTCTTAGGGATACATTCCTCTGATCTCGGCTTCGATCAGCCCCACCACACGGCAGAGTGAAGCTCAGCCATTTGAATGTGCACCTTCCCAGGTCAGAGGTGGACTCCGTCTTGATGGCTAGTTTCACAAAGGTTAAACAACCTGCCATTTCATTAAATTCAGTCTAAATGATGACAGGATATAGTAAAAAATAACTTAACTGTAAATACTAAACTAAATGTAAAGTAGAGGCACTCTCAATGCCACATAAAAAGGTGCCTTATGCCTTTAGGCTGTTTTTTCCATAATAAAAGAAAAATAATAATTATTGCCATTTACAAAACATTACAGTATATATTGGAACAACTTGTCTCTGTAGCCCTTTTTCACACAAGACAGATGTCAAGAACTGACAGATCAATAAGTTTTGAGGTGTGAATCTCCTCTATGCCCTCTGCCCTTCACCTCATTGATCAACATCACTCCTGTTCCAACAACTGGAGGAGCATTACATCATATTGATCTACAGTACTAGAGCAATGCTCCACTTCCACCCCCCCCACATGTGGAGGAAATTATGGCTGCAACTAATGATTTTCTTGATTAATTGATTAATTATTTTGTTAATAGAATATTAGAAAACAGTGAAAAAAGTTTAGATTAATTTTCTTAAGCCTAAGCCTGGTGTCTTCAAATTCCTTGTTTCATCCAAACATCAGTGCAAAACCCAAAGATATCCATTATGCTCATAATGACAATTCTAACATGTAAAATAAAGACTGCTCTATATGAAGTGTTAAAATTACTTCTGTTATGATTTGGCACAATATAAATACCCACTACATACAGTACATAGTCATAGTATATCTGTACCAAATTTAATTGCAACCCATCCATTAGTTGTGGACCATTCTACTACTTCACTACAAACCAAAAATGTTAGTTGTAGTGTTGATCAGTAGTTAGCTCTCTAGTCTCATGACAAAGCATGTAATACACAAGCACATTCAATTGTAGAGGATAGTGTGTTTTACAGGTTTTGCCTCATCTGGGCATTAAAGGTACATGTGCGTAAGAAGCCACAGTACCAGCAGGTGGTGATAATGAAAATGTGAACGTATTATTAAGAGCGACAAAGTCAGTGTAGGGAGGAGGTCAGGGTGGATAGATGAGTCAAATGCAGGAAAAAATGACTGGAACAATTTAGCGATTATCAAATTGTTGCATTGATTTGGACAAATAGATCAAGTAATCATTTGAGTTATAAAGGAATTTACAAATCATATGCATTCCCATTTTCCGTGAGCTTAGCGGCTGCTGTAGAAAAGAGGAGGTCAAGATGTTCTTCAGTGACCCACATGTATGCCTCCCGGTAAGCCAAAGTGGCTTACATCACCTGGTGCCACGGCAACACTCAAAAGCCTCCCCCCAACCATCATCCCTTCTAGTTTGTTCCTGAGAGCCGATGCTAGCCTGCTAATTCCCCCAATCCCAAAGGAGAAACAAAAGATATTCAACCCCGACAAGATGCTGCTAATCTGCCAGCAGTGCACTTAGAAATAGATGCAGTCTTTGTTGACGTGTTCAGTTGATTTACCTCCCAGGGAGTTACAAAGGAGGAATCTCATACATATTCACAGGCAAGTCGAGCTGCAAGCTAGTTTGTAAGTGTGCTCTGATAGGAATCAGAGTCTCAAAAGACTTCCTCCCTGTTGTTGTTGTCACTAAAAACAACCCACAATGTGCTTGGAGGCTTCATAAATATTTAGTGACCCAGAAAAAGAGGCTCATGATAGCACCGTGGTGGGGATTTTGGGTGGTTAGTTAGGCTTGATTGCACAGATGATTATGTTGGATTTGTTAAAAGGAAATACTTGAAATCAGCCAGAACAAGACATAAGAACACAGATTTAATGAGCACTGAGAGTGTGGACTAAGCAGGATAAAAAGTACCTGAGCAGCTTATATGACTAAGTCTACTGTGGTAAAACAGGGAATTAAAGTATTGTAGATTACAGGCTGTCAATCACACTTCTAGCAACACTTTGCTTTCAAAACTTTCTCAACATGTTACAAGCTGACACAGCTCTGCTCTGTGTAGTTACAGTTTACTTAAATTTACAGAGGGACAGCTGAGAAGCTTGTACCACTTTCAGGTCAATTTCATTCTGCGTGTCCTAGCAAACACCCTCAATACAAAACACATCTTCAAATACAAACTGCTCTACTTACCAGCCAGACACTAGATGTTAGCCATTTAATGCCCAATCTTTTTCCCCAAAGGTACATGACTGAGAAGGTACAGTCAGTACAGAATGAGTCTAACAGCACTTTACAGGGATCATAAATTACAAATGCACGAGGAGCTTTCAGAGGGGCCTGTGAAGTGTGAGTCGATAAAACATTAATGGCAGCGGTGTGAGGCAAAGAACAGGAGCATGTGGGCCACAGAAAGGTTGTGTATGATACACATTCACAGTATTGATAAAAACAATGAGAAAGAGGCAACTTGCTGCCATTCCTCAATGTCTTTTCTATTGCTCCGAGAGTTCACTGGTGCATCCGACTGCCTGGCCTCAACGCACACGTCAGAAATCAAAGCAATGGGGGGAAATAAGCTAAAGAATCGAGGGCAGGGATATACAGAAAGGCAGGGCTCTACTCTGTAGTCAAACCAACTCCCAGCTGTCAAGTTCTCTAAGTCGTGCTGACACAGACATTATGCACACACTCGCACGTATTGTACCCACAAACACACTCAACCCTCTCACTCTCCCTGCATGCAGAGGAGCATTCATTTTATTAGCTGGTTTTGAAAGAAGTTTGGGGATGATTATGAATTTCCCCTCTTCACACTAAGTGGTGATTACAGTTTATGTCATTTTATAATCACAATACTGATATATTTCATGATACAGTACATTTTCTCAAATCTCAATTGAAAAACTGTCTGTATAAAATGAATAAGATGAGAATGCCTGATTTTTGTTAATCCTGAATGAAATATCTGATAAATCAAGATAATTAAGACATTTACCTTGCATTTAGGGGTTTGTAAAGCACTTTGCAACATTTGTTTAGTACTATATAAATAAAGGCATTACTATTATTATGTCTTCAGTCAAGTAATAACACCTTACACAAATCAGAAATATCACATGAATAGCTTCCTCTGTATACTTAAATTTAGCTTTTATTATTGGTATCGCTGCAAATTCATATTTATATTCATTCAGATCATAATTAGCCTACTACTGTATAGTTGTGCCTCAACAACAATCAGACATATGATGTGGTGTCAGGAAATTGATTCAGGCCAAAAACGATCCTCTCAAATACTGTATTTACAGTCACACCTGTAGGTAAGTATAGCATACAGCCTGCATTCATAAATGCTCATGGCCATGTGTCAGTACTTAAATAATAGGTTATTATTATTATGATCAGACACAATGTGCAAATTTGAATCTTTAAATAAAATGTATAAAATAAACCTGACATCTCTAGTTTAAGATGCAGAAACCAGACATTTCCTTTTCTATAGTAACTGGTAGTTAGACATTCTGTGAGAAATACATAACTGCCTAAATATCGCCTCTCCTCTCCTCGATACAGCTTTGTCAGCATTTTCAAACCACAAGACACTCTTTTACGAATACTTTCAATTAAGATGCGCTGGATATTCTCCTGGAGACAGAGATAGCACAAACAATCACTTCACACCAGACACACACACAATGCACCCTATACAAACTATGGGACTCGTTCATTGATGGGCTATACTTGCTGACCTTAGCTCATGTGGTAACAACGTTTTTTACTGGTAAACTGTATGCTCAATTTGTTGGAAAGTCGTGAAAAAGACAATAAATGAAAATATGTTTAATAAAATACATATTAGTGTAATGTTATTTTATAATAAAACACTTGTACAAAAGAGTTATCAGTTATTATATTGTGTTATATATATCATACCACTACAATTAAATGTTAATTGATAAACATTATTCTGTGAGTTCTGGGAGGAAGAAGGGCTTGCGCTCATCAGTGCAGTTCAGTCGCTCACAGCTCTGACTGAAAAAGCAAAGTCTGTTTCTCCAAAACAGTTCTGACTGTGCCCTCAGTGTAATAGCCGGAACCTTCCTGTTATTGACTTTCTCACTTGAGTGACCTGGTGAAGTTGAAAACAGAGACTAATTGAAAGAGCAGTGGGCCTTTGGGGCCGTTCACGAAGACAACTGCACTGCTGCAAAACCGCAGACTTCCCCATTAATTTGTATGAGACCAAACCAGGGGTAAAACAGGAGGGCTCTTGAAAAAAAAAATGGTCCAGGTAGAACATCTTGTCGTGTGTACCTTGTATTAATTTACTGTTTACCTGGCTAACTTCCCAGAATTGTGCTCCAAGGAGTATACATTTGACAGTCTGTTCTAAAAGGGAAAGTTACTGATTTACCTGGAACATTTGACATCAGTCCATGTTTCAGATTAAAGCTGTTTCCCGGAAGAAGTAACTTGTTCATATTTGATCCTTTACCTGTAACCTGCAGCAATATGCTCACACTGACGCAGACACTTTCTGTGATCCAAACCTGCCCTTGGGCAGTAAATACGCACAGACACACTCACACAGCATTTTCTGTTGCTTTATCACAGATCCATTATTCAGCTGAATGCTGTGAGGGGGAGCCTTGACCTGTCTGAAGCTCTTCCCCAGGATCTTTTCACACACACGATACAA